TATTTCGAGAAGCATGTAGCGTTGTTAGCGTCATGGAGGATCCAGCCGTAACCGTTCATTATCAGTTCCAATAGGGACATCACCCGATTGTGTTGGGATCAGGGTCAACCGTCACGTTGGCAATTTTTCAAAATTGTGCGACCTCACACCCTTACAGGGGGTCTCTGCGACCCCCTCTCCCACACCATCACCATAAGTCTTAAAAGACCCCTCAACCCCATTCTCCGACCACCACCTTCACCATCATGGCTGTTTCTATAGCAATTGATTCTGAGACCAGCCACCAATTTTGCCTAATTCTCACTAATTTCACCATATTCGTCAAAAAACACCCGTTCGAACAAAATCCCCTTCAAGAACCTACCCCAACCTCCGTTCCACTGTGACAACTTGCTCAACCCCGAAGGACACCTTTCCGAAATCACAGCTGCGACCTCCTCGTTCGAATAGTGCGAACGGACGGTTGACCCTGGGTGGGATGAGGAGGAGCTCGAGAAGTTACATGGTGTATCATTCGCTTGTGTAAGAACGAAAAGGATGGGTGCAATGCTAGGCGGGTGAGCATTACGATATGTAGAATACGGTAGAGAAATATCCGTCATCAGTAGATAGACTCAATCTCAGGGGGAGGTAGAAACTCCGTCCTCCCGAGGCTTAGGTCAGTTGATCAATTTTTGCGACGTCAATTGGACACCGGTTCGATTCTTGTGATGTCAAGTGGTCACCAGTGCTCACATACATTTTAGGCCCACCGTATTCAAAAAATCGTTCTGCTCGCACGACTAATATAGCACCTAATGGAGGTCGTAGTGGTAGATAGTCTATAATGAGAAATATAGGTATAGATTAGGCGATTGTGAGTAGGCGATGTAGGCGATCGCTCAATGGGCGGACCAACGAATCAATACGTATCCTTTCTCTTATCGCCTTCTCGCCTACTCGCCTAATCGCCTAATCGCACGTGCGATCCCCAACTAAGGAAGGTTTCATGGTGCTAAGTGGGCTAAGTCCGCCAATGCTATAACCAACATTTCTTTTCCAACCGTTTGTCACTAGTACAGGATCGTCGGATCCAAGCCCGACATTACATGATTTAGACACTCTCAGGCTACAGTACTTGCTACAATACTGTTTTTTTTTTCTTCTGCATCCATTCGTCACATTAGAATCTGGATTAGGGTTTACTTATTGCCCTACTCTGGGAACAGTTTATATTCATAGAAAGTAATAATCAGGCAACAGCTAACAATGCCTACCATAAAATGGATAATGCATTCATAAAAAGGCAAGCGGCTTCTCTCTCAGACTAACTCGAATAAAATGAATCCCATATTACTATTGTCTCAAAGGGGTAACGCGCAGGCACACTTCGAAAATACTGTGATGGCTAGCACCTCAGTGGCCTCGTATGTCCCCACGTTCAGCGTATACATTGCTCTAGAAGACATGCTCACGGCTACCTGTGGTACAGGTTATGTCCGCCTTGAGACAAGGCGATTGGCAGGGAGACAGAGTATAGCGTTTTTGAAGCTTACCTGATGTGCACCGTTGAACTGAAAACACGACCTTGTTGGTAAATGGAGCAAAACTTGGGAGGATTTCACGATAAGAAGCGAAGGTCAAAAGAGGAAAATTGCTAGCGAGGAGACAGGCGGACCTCCTGAGGTTGCTAACTGATGTGTAACTGGCAACGAAAGATTTGACCTCAGCGCTAGCATGGCTCACTCTTGTCGCGGTTGGCGGGGTACGCCGACCGACTATCTAATCACTCGCCGCAGGTCTATACGTGGCGAGTGATTAGATAGCAGAGAGAGCGTAGTGTTGAAGAGGGCACAGCGATGAGAGTCGCATCAATGCGCAAATCAACGGGCAAAGAAGGGGTCCCATTTCTCGGGTTCCTGGGCCGTTTCAAATGGTTCTTCTTCATTCCTGCTCCACTGACCACCTCTACCCTTATTTCTCAATGAGCTAACTTTTCATCGTAAACTCTGCCGTTAAATGGCGCCAGTTTCTGCTATCCCACCTTCTCCCGACTAAAGCAGATTCTTCCGTAATTGCGAACATGATGCGCCGTTCGTGTGAGAATCTCGTGGCTTCCTTCTTTTCGAAAGCCATTCAGAAGTGTTACATGCGACTCATGTGATGTAGAGAAGCCCTGAAGGGCGAGTTCAACAATAGGAAGGGGAACCATAACATTGACCCTTCTGAGAATGATGTGAGTGAGAATGAGTGAGAATGAGT